TGTATTTTTTATACACTTTGTGCTTAATTTTATATACATTCCTACGTATCATTCAGGTCATATATAATAACTTTCGTTTGTTAGCTTAAAAAATGTAGTATATTCGAGTTTGTCTATATTTCGACCTAACTTTTGTTTCATTTTTTTACGTATCAATATAGATTCGAGTTCGTCTATATTTCGACGTAATTTTTTTTATGTTTCGTGCTTATTTTTATGTACGTGTTTTTTTCATTCATGTTTTTTTTACGTCGAAATGCAACTTTTATAACTATAATCACCAAAATTCAACTTACAAAATTCAAGCTTATGATTACGTTTTTATCTATTATACATAATATAAGCACCAAAACGTACAAAAAAAATTAAATCAAAACATAAAAAATAAAGAAAAAGAAAAACTCAAATTTATATCAGCACGTGCATAAAAATAAGTAAGATTTTTTTAAGTTAACGAACGAAAGTTTAAATAATAAAAAATATATAATATGTGACCCTAATCATAAGTAGGAAACGTACAGAAAATAAAGCACGAAAACGTTAAAAAAATATGTTTCGCAAAACGTTTTGGTGCTTATTTTATGTATGTTTCTACGTATAAGTTTGTTCACATATAATATATAAAAGCGTAATTATAAGCTTGAATTTTGTAAGTTGAATTTTGGTGATTATAATCATAAAAGTTGCATTTCGATGTAAAAAAACATGAATGAAAAAAACACGTACATAAAAGTAAAGCATGAAACATAAAAAAAAATTACATCGAAATATAGACGAAGTCGAATCTATATTGATACATAAAAAACATGAAACAAAAGTTAAGTCGAAACATAGACAAACTCGAATATACTACATTTTTTAAGCTAACAAACGAAAGTTATTATATATGACCTGAATGATACGTAGGAATGTATATAAAATTAAGCACAAAGTGTACAAAAAATACATCAAAACACAGCCAATCTTGAATATAATATATTTTTTAAAATTAACAAACGAAAGTTATTATATATGACACGTCTCATACATAGGAAACGTACATAAAGTTTAAAAAAAAAAAACTACGTCGAAAAATAAGCTCGAATTTAAACCGACAATTTTATAAAAAAAAAACCATATAACTTTAAAAAAAATAACGAAAGAAAGTTCTAAATTATAATCAAAACGTTGATCATCTTGAATTAGGGAAAATGACTTATTAAGGTAACTAACTATTTCAATTGTCCATATATAGGTAATGTTCTTTTTTTTGTACATATTAAGGTAACTAACTTGTTTTGTTTGTTCACATTTAGGTAATATGACCGGCTATCACCTGTTTTTGCTTATGTGGCATCCACCTGGCATTACGTGGCATGGTGCATATATGGGAAAATGACTTATTAAGGTAACTAACTATTTCAATTGTCCATATATAGGTAATGTTCTTTTTTTTTATACACATTAAGGTAACTAACTTGTTTTGTTTGTTCACATTTAGGTAATATGACCGACTATCACATGTTTTTGCTTATGTGACATCCACCTGGCATATGACTTGAATACGTTACACCTACGTGGCATCCACCTGACATATGACTTGTTTTGTTTCTTCTTCCTCATCTTATTCTTCAAAACAACAAGATGAATTTCAAGCTGATCATCCATGTGATTGCGGTTTACCATCTCGTGTGAAGATTTCAAGAACTCCTGACAACCATGGAAGAAAATTTAGAGTTCGTTAAAACTCGATGGTAAATCAATATTGTTGAATATGTTGCAGGAGTTCTTGAAATCTTCACACGAGATGGTAAACCGCAATCGATAATCAGCTTGAAATTCATCTTGTCATTTTGAAGAATAAGATGAGGAAGAAGAAGCCATCATCGATCGATCTAGGGTTTAGAATTAGGGGTGGAATCGTATGACACAGTTATAGTGTAATCGAATGAAGACAAAATATGCACCATGCCACGTAGGTGTAACGTATTCAAGTCATATGCCAGGTGGATGTCACATAAGCAAAAACATGTGATAGTCGGTCATATTACCTAAATGTGAACAAACAAAACAAGTTAGTTACCTTAATGTGTATAAAAAAAGAACATTACCTATATATGGACAATTTAAATAGTTAGTTACCTTAATAAGTCATTTTCCCATATATGCACCATGCCACGTAATGCCAGGTGGATGCCACATAAGCAAAAACAGGTGATAGCCGGTCATATTACCTAAATGTGAACAAACAAAACAAGTTAGTTACCTTAATGTGTACAAAAAAATGAACATTACCTATATATGGACAATTGAAATAGTTAGTTACCTTAATAAGTCATTTTCCCCCTTGTATTATACCGACAAATATATGAAAATAAACACGTAAAAATAGTTTTTTTAGGTTAGCGAACAAAATCTATTAATAAAAAACAAATTATATATAATACGGGGTTAAACACGAAAATTTAGAAAATAGAGGAGTGAAAGTAACATTTTTCAAAGTTCAAAGTGATATTTTAAAAAGTAAATGGGTGAAAAAGTCACAAACTCATAAACATAAAATATAGAAAAAAAATACATAAATGGTCCCTATGGTTTACCCATAATCACAAACCCAGTCCCTACTACTTGAAAATACCAAAATACCCTTACACTAACGGATGAACAATAACGATGTCAGCAAAAAGGGCCATTGATGCAAGTTTTGGAAACCACAGGGACCATGTTCGTCAAAAAAAAAAATTAGCAGGGACTGATTTTGTGACTTTTGGCAAACCAAAGGGACCATTTTTGTAATTTTGTCATATATATATATATATATATATATATATATATATATATATATATATATATATATATATATATATTGAAGTTCATTTGAGACCATACTAATTTTATGAGACCGTAAGACCAAATCTAAAAATATTTTTAAAATACAAAATAAAAGGAAAAATCCAAAAATTATTTTTTAATTATTATTTTCGGAACTTTAATTACCTAAAAAAGTATAAAAAAAATTAGCGTTTTTTTTTTAAATACATGAAATATTCTTATAGAATATTACACCATAAATATTCTAATATGATTTTTAGAATATTAGAATATTATACTAGATTTCTCAGATATATAGAATATTCTGTTTATTCTACTAGAATATGTAAAAAATGTTTTTTTTTTATTTTTTATATTTTTTGGTATTTTTTTTTTGGAAAATATAATTTCTGAAAATAATATTTGAAAAAAAAAATTCAAATATTTTCAATTATTTTGCATTTTAAAAATGTGTTTTGTTTTTTTTACTTATCAAATGAATGGATAGGATTGCGTCTCACACTCTCACAAAATTAGACCGTCTCACATGAACATATATAATCTTTGTCTTCCACTTCACTATTACATAACTAATGTTTTAAACACCTATTTAAACCGGTCGGTCTGACCAGGGAACCGGAGACGAGATCGGTTCAACAATTACCAGTTTAATATCAATTTCTAGATCATATCGAACCAGACAATTTCTTCAAAAACCTGTTAGACCAATGTGATAGAATCAATAAAAGAAATCGTTTGAAAGAGTTTATTGGACTTTGATGGTTGTATTTCAATTAGCTCGTTAAAAAAACACAATTTATTTTCCAAAGCAAATTGAATAACTCAATCAATTACGTTATCCGGAGTGTGCACAGTACGCAACTCGAAGGCTGGCGCACAAAACTCTCGATGTAGGAAAATGTAAAGGTACCAAAGTAAGGGGCTGTTTGGTAAAATTTGAATTTGTCAGAGGATCTGAATTTTTAAGATATGAATTTTGAACATGCTGTTTGTTTAGAACCACTGAATTTTTGTCCTTAATTATAAAAATAATCATTTTACCATTATGTATTATTTTTTGCAAGATTATAAAAACACTATACATTAAACATAAATCAAAATTAAACAATCAAACATAAATATTTGACAAATCTATTTGATTATAACAATCAAGATTGCTTTGTTTTAAATTGTATGCAAATATTGATCACATTACAAAAATTGATGTTAACAGATCTACATACAAATGCAACAATCCAAATAAACTTAAAAACTGCAGCAATAAAGATTAGAAAAGTCATAGGGAAAACGACATCCATTATCACCCTCATATTGATCATTATCAATCACCTATATCAACCAAACAAAGGATACATCAGATTTATCATACACATTGAACATTTTAAGAGAAAATATTAATATATATACAAACAGTTTTTATCATCCAATGTTTCTTTTTTGCAAAAAGATTCAAGACAAAGAAGTTTAAATAAATAATAAGTTGAAACAATTTCATTCATGCATTTCATAAAATGGTTCATATGCAAGTAAAATAAATATGGGAAAGAAGCCATAAATGATAAATCAAACAAAATCAAACCAAAATCAGCAGCATTTCATCAAAATCAACAATATCTCTTTAAAATCATACCATATTTCAAACCAAATAAATAATTTCAACAACATAACCATAAATTCAACAATTTTTAGAACTTACTACAAGCATTTTAACAACTTTTACAACCGATTTCAAGGCCATTTCACCAGTTTCAGCAAGAAAATCAAAAGATAACATGAGATTATAAAGAAGAATATCGATTTCAGAAGATTAGGTGTGTTGCGGTTGTGCGAAGGGTTGTGCGAAGTGTTGTATGACAGAGATTCGGGCAATTCCATCATTGTTTTTAAGAGGTTACCAAAGGAGCTACATCTTAATTTTTAAGAGGTTACTTTTTAATTTTTGAATAAAGAAACCGGGCTAATATTATTCAACTCATTTACGTGGAGAGATGAAAGAAGATCAATATATATATATATATATATATATATATATATATATATATATATATATATATATATATATATATATATATATATATATATATATATATATATATATATATATATCGTTTGCATGAAAGGAAAATCATACCAGGAACCTTTATTTGAAATAAAAATAAGGATGAAAAAAAACATGAAAATCATGGTACCCGAACACCAGGAAACTTTATTAAATTCTTTTAAGAGTTTTAAAAAGTTAAAAGTTTCTAGCCCAAAATGTTTAATTTCATTACAATTTCGTGTAATTAGCGGTAAACTTATTTTGGATGAAAAAAACATGGAAGATCGATGACCCGGTTGTTGCAGTTTATCCTCGTGATCTTCACAAACCCTTTTAGGGATCTTCATAATTGCCAAATTGATCGTCTTCTTCGACCAGAATGACATGGTTAAACAAACCCTTCAAATATTTGGGAATGTACATTTACAGTGGAAGGAACATAAAAAATTTAGCCCACAAAAATGATAGGTAAAGCAGTCACATCACTCGTGATCTTTCTCGTAACCATCTTCATCACATACTCAATCACAACCGGAGGTTTAGGATCCGGACGATTTGGTACAGTTGATTTGAAATCCCAGTTATCTTTCTTCTCCATTCCCAAAAATGATACCCCATTACCTTGTCGCAGCCGATCTCCGCTCAGGGTTTTCATGTACGATTTGCCCAAGAGGTTTAATGTCGGTATGATGAGCAGTAAGTTCGCCGGAGACGATATTTCGCCGTTGAATGCCAATAATCTGCCGACGTTGCCGCAGTATGCAGGGTTACACCAACAACACAGTGTGGAGTATTGGATGATGACGTCGCTCTTGTATGAAAACGCTACGGTTGATGAGAGCAGTGAGGCGGTGAGGGTTTCAAATCCTGATGCAGCGGATGTGTTCTTCGTTCCTTTTTTCTCTTCGATGAGTTTCAATACCCACGGGAAGAACATGACAGATCCCGATACTGAATTTGATCGACAATTACAGGTAACAATCATTTTGATCGTTTCATCGTAATTAAACAGTCTCGTTATCTAATACTGATTCCTTAAGGCAAATTGTAGAATGTTGATTCACTTTTGTGCACATATTGGTTAACTCCATTTTTATTCCAAATGGAACTGCACTTTCGTTTGAATGTTATAGGAGTATGATTACTTTTCTACCTCACAAATCTTCAGTTTTTGGAGAAGAAATTGCTCACTCTGTTGAATTATGTAGAAAGGTTAGAGATAGAGCTAAATTGGATGTGGTTTTGATTTTTGAAAGCAATCCTCTGTATACTTGAGTTGTTTCGAACCTAATCCTTATGATTACTACAGGTTGACATCCTTAAAATTTTGAGGGAATCTAGTTACTGGCAAAGAACATCTGGAAGAGATCACGTAATTCCAATGCATCATCCAAATGCTTTCAGATTTCTTCGGGAAGAGGTGAATGCATCTATTCTCATTGTTGCAGATTTTGGAAGATACTCAAAAAGCATGGCAAATTTGCATAAAGACGTTGTCGCCCCTTATATGCATGTCGTAAAGTCTTTCATGGATGATGACTCTCCAAATCCTTACAAGTTGCGTACCACTCTTCTTTTCTTCAGAGGAAGAACAGTAAGAAAAGCCGTATGTCACAACCAACATGAACAATTCAAAAATCTATTTTTCTTTCAACTTTGAAGAAAAACAAACTAATTAATTAATTAATTAATTATGTCGTAATGTGTTTTACAGGAAGGCAAAGTTCGTGCCAAGCTGGAAAAAATACTAAAAGGTTATTCAGATGTACACTTCGAAGCAGGCTACGCTACAGGAGAAGGCATAAACGCTGTAAGTCTTAAAAGTACAGTACACACAGTACAACCTGTTCTGTTCTGTGTAGTCGTGTGTAACAACTAGAATTGAATTTTTGGTGTAACCAGTCAACGCAGGGGATGCGGACATCAAGATTCTGTTTACATCCAGCTGGCGACACGCCGTCTTCTAACCGACTGTTTGATGCTATCGTGAGCCACTGTGTACCGGTGATAGTAAGTGACCATATTGAGCTCCCTTTTGAGTCGGAATTAGACTACTCAAAGTTTTCGGTTTTCTTTTCGGTAAAAGAGGCGTTGGTTCCGGGGTATATGGTTGAAGAGCTTAGGAAAATACCCGAAGAGAGGTGGGTTGAAATGTGGGGCCGGCTTAAAGAAATTGCACATCATTATGAATATGAGTACCCTCCCAAAAAAGATGATGCGGTTAATATGGTGTGGAAGGAGGTGAGGAGTAAAGTTCCTGCCGAAAGACTTGCTGTAAATAGAAACCGCAGACTCAAAGTGCATGATTGGTGGTGATTGGTGAGACTGATCATAACAATTTTTTTGTAAAATTGGTTAACATTGATACATGTTGTAGTTTTCTTTGTATCCCTAAAACAGGGGAAATAGTGATTTTAGCGTGAGATTCATATTTTACAAAGAAGAATAATGTTTGGTGATATTGAACAACTTTTTTGTTAAAAAGTAAATGAATTCCTGGAATTTTGAAAATGTTTCCTTGCGGTTGCGGAAGAACTTGAAGGATCATCTTGAAGTTAGTGTTTTATATTGTGTGGTGGTATATTTTGGGTTTTTAGAAATTCTATTTTGTTTGGTAGGAGCCACCAGAAAAAGGAGATTTGTTTGATAAAATTGTTATTCAATCTTACTTTTGGGTTAACAAAAATAGAAATATGCCGTCTACTATTAACTGGGTTCATTGATTTCAAAACTCCAACATTGGCATTCCAATCATTCTAATAAAAAAGATAAGATATGGTCACTTTATAGAATAACTCTTTTTCTATATCCATTTATGTTATTATTTATAAATTTTACAAAAATAAACAAAAAAGATGTTACCAATAATGGGGTGCATTGGATTGATTCAGCTAACCTTTTCAATGACCAAGATGCTAGCTTTGGAATCGATTATTATGAGTAAACGTGGATTCTATGGAATTTTAGAAGTGCCATCATTTTTAGTGGAAATAACATTATTTGGAAAATTCTGACCATTGATTATCAAAAATAAAATATAATTTAAACACAATCGACCATTGGAAGAAGAAAGAAGAGAGAAAAGAGAGGAGAGAGTGTATGGGAAAGGGCCAAGTCCCCAAGCCGCATGGTATGGTATGGGTATTTTGCCCAACTTTATTTAAAACTAGGAGAATATCCGTACGTTGTGCAGTAAAATTTATTTATTTGAAGTCTTTACAAATGTATGTTTTTTTTATTTAAATATAACAATAACGTTTAAATTTGATACAATAATTCGTTAAATAAATTGATTTAATATATTGATTATTTTTAATTATATGATAATATATACATTTATTATAACTGTATAATCTCAATCATTTGAATGACTTCTACCCGCGAGTTACACATGAATAAAATTAAATATAATATATGATTTAATGTTATTTATATTTGTTGTTATTGTTAATTAATTTTTTAAAATTTATTTGTTTAATGTTTTAATTCTTGTCATTATAATTATTTAAAATATCAAACATTGTTTTTTGATTTTTGATTTTTAAGGTAACAATATAACCATTTATATAGAGTTATTTATAATAATAATTATTATAAGTTTTTAAAGCTACATATTTGAAAAATTTTAAAGATTATAAAAAATACTTTAGAAAATATTTTAGTTAAATTGAGATTACAATTTAGTTTTTGCATTTATCATTACAGTTTATCGCTTTTAACTATTTATAAAATATTCATTGGTTTATTAAGTAGAACTAAAATTTATAACTGTAATGTTATATTTTAATTAACTATTTACGTATTTTGTCCAAACTGTTCAAAAGTTGTAGCTTTAAACTGATAATGGTTTACAACAATATTTTAAATCTAATAAATAAAATATAATATATTAACAGCAAAAGACATAACTTAATAAGTATATGTAAAGATATTATTTTAAAATTGAAATTTAGTTTATTTATGATTACACTTTAGGTTTAATATTTATTTAACCTTATTAACCAACTTATAATCATTATTAGAAAGATACTTCAATTTATCACTTTTAACTATTTATAAAATATTTTTTTGGGTTCTTTAAGTTAAACTAAAATTTATATTTAAGTTGACCATGTAATGTTAAACTTATATTAATAATTTAAGTATTTTATACAAATTGTTCCAAATTTGTATCTTTAAAATGATAATGGTTTACGTCAAACAATATATTAAAACAAATAAATTAAGTATAATATGTTAAAAGTTAACGAACATAATTTTATAAGTAGAAATAAATATACTATTTTAATATTAAATTTTAGTTTATATATTATTACATTTTATGTTGGATATTTATCTAATATTATTAAACAACTTATAATTATTATTAAAAAGAAATTGAAAAATCATGAGAGTTTCAAATGAATGTGGTGAACGGAAAAATGCATGAGAGTTTCAAATGAATGTAGAGAAAGGAAAAATGCTACCTTTATAAGTATATAAAGATTATATTTTAGATTTGGTTAATTTATAGTTTAATTTTAATAAGTCTGCTATGATGATATCCTTCATAATGAATGATCAGTCTTTTCTTATTGATTCTTCCTTATTTTGAAATGTTAGGAAACTGTAACGCCCGCAGATCCGGGCTAGTCAATTTAGAGGCAATAGGGTTCAAAAATGACTTTTCGACAAAAGATTATTTAGAATAAATAATCTTAACCAAGTTGTAGAATATGACACAAGCTTTTCCGTACATATAAAGAACGCCGAAATCCGAGCTATAACGAAGAAGTTATGGCCCGCCGAAGTTTTACGGCAAAACCGCCACGGCACCGGGAGACGTAAATAGTGAATTTACGATAGAAGACTTTTTAGCCTTAGCAATCTAAACAAAAGTCGTAGAATATGTTAAACTAAGAACATCAATAAAAAGAACGCCCAAATCTGACTTCGTATGAAGAAGTTATGATTTTTCTAAGATTCGGCTTAGCAGTGCACGGCCCGAAACTCGAATTTTAGTTCGAGCGGTTTTTGGCTTACGCGACCTAAATGAGAGTTGAAGGTCTCATTAATAGGAACTCAACGGTAAAAAGACAGACGAAAACGGAGTCCGGATGAAGGAGTTATGAACTCTTCGCGGTCATTTAACAGTCTAAACGCCTCCTACTGTTAAATTTGAGATCGGTCGAGAATTAGCTGACAAAGTCTAAACAAAAGTTGTAGATCTTGATTTTACCTACACGTGGATATAAAGAACGTCGAAAACGGAGCTCGTATGCGAAAGTTATGATTTTTCTAAGTTTGAAGGCTGATACGCGATAGGGGGTGACGTGGCACCACCAGAATTGGACATGTGGCACCACCAGAAGGCCACCACAAGGACCAACTCGGCGAGTAGGTCCCCCCTACTCGGCGAGTAGGCCAGTCAGCACCCCTATAAATAGAGGTGTCGGGTTCCATTCATTCTCACACCTTCAACCTTCTTCTTTCTCTCTCTATACTCTCTCTCTAAGCTCCCTTAAAAAGCCTAGGTAAACCCCCTAGCACCCGAAGGAAGCCCCGAGTCTCCCGGAGTCCCGAGAAAAAGGGTCTTTCGGCTTGGAAACGCTGCTCCAGCGAAGCCCGGTTTTGCGAAAAACCCGCTGTAAGTGAGCTATGCCTACGCTATCTTTAGTATAGCTTATGTTTTAATATAGTAACATTATTAGGAACTTATAATGAGAATTTGGGCTATTATTATGAGTTATATTGACTGTTATTTAACGCTTATATAATAATAATAATAGTCAGACTATTAATTAGTCACGGTTATCGTTAGACTAAACCCTAGTGGTACTGGTACTAGGTTTTATCGAAGGAATATCGTTTTGAGAGTATCGAAGCGCTGTCCGAGTGCTGAGTCACCACCTACTTAGGTGAGTGCATAGTCCCTTTCATCTTACACATAGATATGAAGTATTTTATATAAACTACGTGCTATGTGTGCATATTATCTGAATACTTGTTGTCTATGCTGGATGAAAGTTTTATACATGTTTTAAAGGATTTAAACTGTATACGTATTTTATATATACGAATATGTTGGGTATGATGATGGGTAGGTAAATGATGAGAGATAGAAAATGACGTGAGTATACATTGGCTGCTATAGACTTAGTGCCTATGGGACAAACACCGGTAGCTATGGACTTAGTACCTGTTAGACGTTGGTAGCTATGGATTTAGTACCTGTTGGGAATTGGTAGCTATGGACTTAGTACCTATTAGTTAGACACTGGTAGCTATGGATTTAGTACCTGTAGGAATTGGTAGCTATGGACTTAGTACCTATTAGATAAAGACTGGTAGCTATGGATTTAGTACCCGATGAATAAAGGTAGCTATGGATTTAGTACCTATAATGGGGGTGAAAGTGGGTTAGATCTGATCCCACATCGGCTGAGAAGGAGAACTAAGCATTCCTTATAAGGGGTGTGGATACCTTCCCTATCACAACGCGTTTTAAAGCCGTGAGGAGCACTGGTAGCTATGGATTTAGTACCCGATGAGTAAGATATAGCAGCTATGGAATTAGTGCTTTACGTACGAACATTGGCAGCTATGGATTTAGTGTCAGTCCTATGACCCTGGAAGTAAGGGACTTCGGAATAAACGAATGCAGGATAGACGACTCTTAGGTTAAATCCTTAAGAGTAAAAAAGATAACGGGGATGGGTAATTGGGTTGATTCTTTGATTGAACATAATAATTATATTATTGTGGGTTGAAAACCCTATGTACTCACCAGGTTTCCCAACCTGACCCACTCAGTTTATGTATATCACAGGTGACGAAATGAAGTGACATTACACTGAGAGATTTAAAGAGATGTAGATCACTAGTGTAAATCATTGTAAGTTCTGTTTATGCTTATGTTTCTGTATTAACGATGACATCCCAAACGTTTTAAGATGAATAAAAATACGTTTCTTCGAAAATGTTTTAATAACGTATTTATCGTGTTTTTCTAGGAATAAATTCCGCAACCTTTTTATAAAATGAAGTACTCTGATTTTTCATAAAGCATAAACAAAAATCGGTCTTTTCTGGCCGTGATTTTGGGGATGTCACAAAAACTTGGGGCTTCCCTGCCCATGTTCTCATTTCATTGACCTTTGGCTTTATATCATAATAGATTTTCTAAACCCAAATCATCGTACAAGTTACCAAAGAGTTGACTTTACATCATTACATTTAGAATTTGAGCATTACGTACCCCGAACTTCATAGATAACCTCTTACCATTTCCTTGATTGATATACAATCCATTCGTCTAAAACCAGCTCACCAATGGCTCTCATGATTCTAGCCATTAAATTGCTTATCTTAGTGTCGTTTGTGTCTTCTATAGGTATGTTCTTAGTCATCGATTTGAAAAACCTATTTAAACTTTAAAACCATCCATTCGATGGTCTAACTATACATCTAAAATGATGAGTTTGACCGAGTTAAATAGTCAAACCATGGTATCATCGCTTTTATTCATTGCT